ATGCTTTCTTAATGGTCGAAGCCCTTCCAAGTTCAATTATGGACAATGGCTGAAGGTGAAATATCCTTTTAAAGTTGTTAGTTTGAAGAGGGGAGTCATTTCCAATCTCGGGGGGCAACCTAATCAGATTGAACAACAAAGGTTGCAAGACCTAATTGCCAATGAAGTTCACAAAGCTATAGAAAAAGAGGTAGCAAGGTTTGTGCCATTGTAGCCTGATGCCAATTCAAGCATCCAATCAATGCTGCCACAGCAAAAGCATGTGTGCAAGCTTAGTCCACCTCAGCAGTTTGCAGACTCATTGTCCAAGGCCACTCGGGAGGCATGCAGGCCACCATGTTGTCCAACATGTCGTAGGCCATATTCAAAAAATAATGATTCTTTCCAAAGTGGCTTTCACAAGAAATTCTCAGATTTTCCTTGCAGCCACAAGGATAACATGGGAGGTGACATAAGAAACACTATGCCTTCACATCTGCCAAGTCGAAGAAGGAGGAAGAAATCTAAAGACCTCTGTTGGACACCAATGAAGGAACAAAAGCAACAAACCCATGTCTTTGAGTGGAGGCACGAGGGGCATGATCTCGTAGAAAAGCATGGAGGCATGTGCAAATGCTGCCTCTATAAACAAAGTCAATTTAGACATTGTCGCCATATAAACTTGGTGGCCTACCAAGAGTTCCCTACCCAAAATCCTAGGACTCTTCGAAGGCGGCTTCAAAAGAAAAGAGCTAAAAAGCGTCGAAGACATGTTGCCGAGGTGCATGCTTCGCAATGGCAACAACCACCAGGGAGGCAAAAGTTTATTTGGGTGGAGAAGAAGAAACACAGTGCAGCTTCTCAAGAGGCAAATCAAAATTTAGTCAATGCAATCGTGTCTCCAAAGACGTCTGCCAAGTGTGTTCCTTTTAAGTCAAATGACTCAAAGGCAGCTAAGGAGCTTAATGTCAGCAGCAAAACAATTAGCCTTGGTGAGTTTATTACTGAACTTCCAAGTTCCAATCCAAATCTCCCTTTTGTTTTCACAAGGAAGCAAGATGCAGCCTCTAGTAGCAAAGGGGCAGCAAAGAACAAAGCAAACATGTCTGCCAAAGAAAACAAAGGGAAGAATCATAAAAAAGATGCTGCAACCTTCGTTCCAAGAGGAGGAATGCTGCCGTCAACTAAAAGCATGCTGCCTAGGAGACATTCTGCTAGTAATATGAAATCTTTGCAAATGCACAAGGCATTAGATGAAGGCACATACTGGCTACAAAACCTTGACGGTAGTCTGCACCTCACAAAAATAAATGGCTTACCTTTTCAGCCATGTTGCCCTTCGGTCTGTAAGTCATGCAGTAGATCGAAGTGGAAATAATCTCTTTGCCTAAATCAGGTTTGGGTGGAGATCAGCTTTAATTTAGTTTTTGTTTTTAATTAGTGTGAATAATCTTGCAGTTGAGCGGCTTTAAGGAAGGCTGTGAGATGGCATTGTTTTAAGACACTATGCTTTTTGTGGAAGCGTGCTTGAGTTATGTCTCCATGTCAAACAAGAGAATTCATGGAATTGTTCTTTTTGGAGGCTACATTTTACCTTTTTTGCAGATACACTTTTAGTTGGCTTATTTATCTATGAAGCCACTGTGTCTGTCAGATGATATTCCATGCTATGCTGAAGAAAACAACAATATCAAATTTCTACGTTCTTGGAGACATCATGCTTCCTTTACAATGGCCACATGGCGAGGAGTGCTAGGAACAAAATTTTCAAAACTTGATTCCACTTCCATGAAGTCGTGCAACCAAGTTTTGGGGGGATTGTTTACACCCATTTTTGCCAAATAGTATAATGATGCCACGTGTCATCCATGTTGGCATATATTTCATTAGTTGAAAGTTGTTGGAGTAAATCTC